ATATTTAGCCAGATACCGCTTTCACAAGGGCTCGAGACTCGAGTGATCTATGGATTTTATTGTCGACCGGACTGTAAAAATAGCTCGGCCGAAGCTCGACCCAAACACGCCCACCGATTTGTCAGTTCGCCACAATGTGTGCAAATTGTTTCATTAGGCGACTTTGGGCGGCGGTAAAAACAATGCCAAAAAATTCCAGCGAGCGCGTGGTCAGTCGCTCAGGTAATCCCCGCACGTTCTGGGTCCATATCGAAAGCTTCTGGCCAAAAAGCTACAAAGAAAGACAAAAGGTATTGGCTTTTCTGGTTAGCAGAACAATTCTGGATTATTCAACGCGGTGGCTACTTGTTACAGCAGGCCATATAATTTCATCACTGCCATTACCGGGCATAAAACAAACAGTTCCAGTGCATACTTGAAATTGTTGCTAATGAGTTTTAGTATCGGTTTTTATGTTAGGCATGCTAATTGCCTGGCTAATGGGCCAAAGCCCAATCGGTTATGAGGCGAAATTGCCAGTTGCAGGCGAATAAATGCCTGCAAATGTGGCGATTTGTCTATGCTTTCACCTTGGCTCTGGCTCCTCCAGACAGCCAGTCCATTTTTATTTTTATTTTCAGTTTTATTTTTGATTAGCATTTGCATTGCCGGTTTTAACGGCGGCTGCCTCGAAAACATGTGTAGATCGCACACGGCACATCAAAATATTATACAACATAAACAACATAATTAGCTCGAAATGCAAATCGCGGATTCGGAGTCCCAGGCAGCGAGAAAGCGCAACCAAAGGGCAATTTATTAAAAGCCCATCCGTCGGATGCATCTCCGATCGGTGAAAGTTACAGGTTGCTGGGGCAGAGGACAGAGGGCCCAACCCCAAGCTAATGAAGCGGACAATTTATTAATAAAATGCACATTAGCCCACGTTTATGGCCCCCTCACAACACGCTGACTTGGCCGAATGAATTTTCAATTAAGCGCCAAAATCGTGGCCCAAGCTGAAGTTAGGCCTGAGCTGGAAGTGGAAGCTGGAAGATACCCGTAACCAAAACTAAAGCCATGGTATCCAAACGACTAACTCCCAACTCAGACGAATCGCCGCCGATGTTTGAAAGCGAAACCGGTTGGCCAACAGCCGCTGGCTGAAAAGCAACGTCATACGCAACATTTGACCCACTTTTTGTGCAGGCGGATAAAACCGAAACCAAAACAAAACAAAAGCCAAAATTAAAATTGGCAAGCCCGCTGTTTCTCGAAAACAGTCACCAAATTTGAACATCTACACATTTCTATAAATATTTTTATGGGGTCAGCGTAGCTTGTAGGGGAGAGTGGGGGAATTTCGTCACAGGGGCAATTTCGTCACCTGCAATATCTCGGAATCCATAAGTCGTAAAAATATATAATTTTTTTGTTTTAGTCCTTCAAGACGGCCAGACACAACCAATGCATTTGTTTTGCACAGAAGGCCAAGATAATTAAGCTATAATATTAAATGTGTTTTAACAGTTCAAAAGCTACATTTAGTTCTCGACGAAATTTTTTCTGTATGCCACAATTCAAAAGGAATAAGATACACGATTTTTTATATAATACACAGTGCCATAATGTGCATTTCTGCGTCAGTGATTTTTAACTTCGCGCCTAATTTCGCAAGAAAAATAATTATTTCTAAAAAAGTACGGTCTGGGGAAATTTCGCCACCCTACGCTAAGGGTAAAGTCGCACCTATTTTAAATACATATTTTTATATTTGACGAGCTGGCTAACCAACAGACTACCAGCAGCAGCAACAAATACAGGACGTCAACAAAAATGGTACGCTTGATCAGTGTAGCATATTTTCAGGCTTTAAACTCCCTACATTTTTCAGGTGACGAAATTTCCCCAGTTGTGTGGTGATTTTACCCCCCTGTGTGGTGACATTGCCCCAGTATATTGGTTTTACATTTTATTTTTTTATAAATCACCAAGCTAATTAAAAAAATAGGGGAATGTCACATTTTAAAGCTTGGTGCTAACCGCATTCAACAATAAAAATAGAAATATGATAACGTGTCTCAAGATGGACAAAAAATAGCTTTGAAAAAATGCTGACGAAATTCCCCCACTCTCCCCTACAAATAAAACATAAATTACACAATCATGCCAAAGCATTTATATCGATTTTAGCCTCGAGAAGAATAAATATTAAAAAACTACAATGGCTGTGTAAATTGTATAGGGCCAATATTTATATATTAATTTAAGCCCATTGACCTAAAACCTTAAATTTATTTAAAAGTATTTAGCATTTCAAGGGTGATTACCGGCGATTATAGCCATCCAGTTTTTTTTTCGAATCTCCGTAAAATGTTTATATATGCTTTACCGAGATTCTTATTAAGAGCCACACAGTGCCTCAAATTTGTTTATCACCCGTGTCAGATGTGGAGCTTTTTTATAAGGCCATGCGTTAAATTCAACCGCGATGTATTTATCTTTTCCTTTAGACTTTGAGCAAACATTTTGAACTGACGCTGCGTTATTTACTTGGATTTTACCTTAACTCAAAGGTGAATGAAAGGTTTGAGAATAAAACAAAAAAAAAATAAATAGAAAATGCATGCAAACAAAAGCAATAAATATAAAAAGCAACAGACTCTGCCAAGGCAAAGATTTTGCAATTTGATGTGTTTGCCTTTGTAAATGGCAAGCGAGAATGCGGCGCTTGTGAAAATATTTGCTCAAAATGTTTTCCATATATGTAGATATGGTAAAGTGTAGTAAAAGCTTTGCCCCCGGGGTTAGATAGCGAAAAATTAAGAGCTTTTTTTAGATAAATAATCTGTATTAGAGTTCTGCGTGCCTGGTGTGCGGCAGACCACAGAAAGATATAAATTCGGAGGCTCTATCTTCGAACACATGTGCTGACAACCAACAACAATTGCTGCCATTTACCTAACAAACAACGATTTTACATTCAAGAAAATTAAAGAATTTTCTGATTGAAATTCCATAAAAAATACAAATAAATTGATTTTGGGCTTGGCTTCTAGAGCTGCATGAAAAGGCAATTTAGGATTGGGTCAAGCATGGAATGCGAATTAGTAACTGACAAACGTTCTACGCTCTACAAACTCTGCAATATAAATATAACAATCTGTGCACTTAAGTTTGTTATATTGCCAGAGCTCAAAAGTGCAGTCGGTGTCGTTCCAACTTTTATGCTTAATTCAAGTAAAATATTTACCGCAATTGCGTTGCCAAACAAAAGCAAAATTAAATTCTATCTTCATAAAAATGTATAAAAAGTTGGTGAGTTTCGAGAAGCCCGACTAAAAGAAAAACAAATAAAAATGCAAATAAAAGTTGTACGATTCAAAGTTATGGGCGCGCTGCAAGATACTGGAGACGTGAACCCAACTCATAAAAACCCAACAGGAAAACTCCGGCCGAACGAGTTAACTGCGATGCGCTAACTGTTCCTATCTTGGGCACTGCCATCAGAGGAACATCAAAGTGCAGCGGTGGGGGGGATCGGATTGGATTTGGGATTCGGAATGGGATTGAAAACGCACTGAGGCAAATATCGCTTAACCGTTGCAAACGGGCTCAAATTAAACAATTTCATTTTATTTTAAGCAAAAAACAGAATCAAATGGACAAATACATTTTAAATTAACAGAAGCCTTTATTTATTACCTTTATTTTTTTAAAAATCTGGGTTTTTTTATTAATGATTTAGGATGTAATTCAGTAATTCTTAGACCCATGGAAAAATGTATTACATTATACAATTAAAATTAATAAAACATAATGTGTAATCTAGTTTTAATAGACAGTAAAAAGCGTAGAAACTTGAAAATGGTTTAAATTTAAAATTTTTGAATGTCTAAATCTTATTTTTATTGGAAATCATAATTAATTGATTCTTCGCGTTTTTCTCTGTGTGAAAATGGGATTGGGACACGGATTGGGAGCTCGCAGCAGCCAGCCACAGCGGTTACAGATGCAGATGGAGATGCAGACAAAGATACAGATACATATAAAGTAGGTTGCTGCAGGTTTGTTTTCCTGATAAGCTCGCGCCATGAGATTAGCCTGTTTTCCCTCCATCTCCCAACAATTTGTTTTCCTTCTGCCGTCTTTGTCTGTTCTGCGTATTTGGCTGCGGCTTAATTTTATGGGTCAAAGATTTTATTTTGTAACTTAATGTTTGCTTGGCTTGTTGGGGACTCAAAGCAGCAGGTTGTTGGGTCTTCTTTTATTTTGGTACTCATCTGCTTTCAACAGAAATGCACTAAAATTCTAAGATGACGAAGGGACAGCCACTTACGTTTTATAACCCTTTTTCGGATTACACGTTAATTGTGCCCATTTGCAGAGCTTATTTAAATGGCATTGGTTAACCAGTCAACGAATCACTTGCCAAATATCCGATTATTTGATTGTAGCGTACATTTTGGTTATCATATTATAGTTACTTCGTTATCTCCACCGCTAACCACACAATTGGGCGTCTCCCTGATTGGATTACCAAAATGCAATCAATGCTTGCTAATCTTATCAAAAATGCTGCTCCCAGCGGCCAACGAATCGTGTAATTATGTTTAATTGGCCCAACGAATCGAGTTAACACTTTGCAGGCTAAATAAATATTTTAATTAACCATTCAAATTGTACATGCAAACGTCAACCCATTCACCAATTTACCTTTATTTAATGAAAATAAAACGACCACAAAATCAAGATTATTTTTTTGCGCTACAAAAAAAACTAATCAATGTTTAATTATAGGAACTGTCTAGCGATAGAATTTAGCTTCCTACTCCAACTTAAAATCACTTAACCATAAACAAAAGCCGGTTAAAACGATAGCTTCCGTGCGTTTTTAAAATACCAGGCCTGGGTGCACATCGAACCCCAAATAAATGGAGAGGGTTAGGTTCTATCTGCAGGTTGATAAATGTCTTATCTAAAATGGAATATTCCCGTTCATGTGAGCTAAAATTAAAAAAATAGTTCAGTTTGAAGTCATGACTTCGCCTAGACGTGTCTGCTTTTTCCTGTTTATGGTTTTAATTGTATTTTCGCTTGTTACCCTCTATTTTAATACCAACACCATTGAAACGGCGGTTAAAAGTGATCTCAAACATACTTTGGATCCTCTTTACGAAAAGATCAGAGTTCTGTGCATGATACCCTATGATTATAAAAATCCCGATGCAGCCAAATATGTGAAACGCACTTGGGGAAAACACTGCAATGTATTGCTTTTCGTGGGTGGCGATATCGATGGTGAATTGGAACCCTATGTGCCCGTGATCAATTCAACGGATAGGTGGACTTTGGTGCAACAAGGCCTGATGCACGCATACCGTTTTTACGCCGACCAAGTTGACTGGTTCCTCAGAGTCGAGCCTTCGAGGTAAGGCCCCCGTATTATTCAACAGATAGTAACTTAATTTGAATTGTTCGACGCAGTCATAAATTGCCGACGCGCTCTTTGTTATTGGGTTTTAACGCCAGAATATTATTATGATATTCTAAACATTCAACTGCCACTTTTTATTGCACTGAAAAAACTGTTTTTTAAAAATGTGAGAAATATAAAAATTTTATATTAACAGTATATACGGATTATTTATTGCGATTAAAATGTTTGATTTCATTACTGACCGATAAAAAATTATTTAAAAATTGTAGATAATCGGAACGTTTTAGTTATTTCTTTCCGTGCCTTATTATTCATTCTCGTTGTTTATTTTTATGAGCGTTGAGTTCGGTGGCCGGCTCACTCAACATATTTTGACTTCTTTCATTGATAAAGTTATCAGTCAGCCTTCGGCAGTATTTGTTTGTGCTCGAGATTGAGTTTGGGTCTCAGTTGCGTTTTGTTGGATGTTCCCGTTTACGTTAAGGTCTACGTCCCGTTTTCAGTTGGTTCCGTTCTATTCACTCCATTGTAGATCGATTTTTCTTCGGCTTCCTTTTGTGGTTTGGCCCACAGAGAGTTTCCTTTATCGAGGGGATGGGGGAAAATGTGCCAAGGAAGTGCGAGTATCTATAGGCGGTAGTTTATCTGTCTTTTGTAGGGGCACACAATGCAGTTCCCCAGCCCCGGTTCCCCATTTTCCTCTGTGTTTATGTATATGTCGCTTGATTGCTCTCCAGGGAGGTTTGCCTTCATAATTGGTACAAATTTTCAGCTCGAAGTCGAAAAAGAAAATTTTCCCATGGATTTCCATTCACGGTGCGGAATGCCATTAGCATAGTTCGCCTCAGATTATGCTGATAACTTGACAAATGAATTTCTATTCAGAGCGGGCGATCGCAACCCTATCCCAATGCATTTCCCGTTCATTTCGAATTTCTGAAAAACAAACTATAATTCAGTCCTCTATAGACGAGTATCGATGTGTCATTCTATTTCATTGGCATTAATTAGTTTAAATATATTTGCACTTGGCGCTATCAACTTGTTTTGATTTTTTGCGCACATTTCAAACGGCAATTCAATTAATCCATGTACTTCTGTTTACACTCAAATGCCCAGTTAATGGCTATATAAATGTCGGAATTTTCAATATGCTCCAGTCGTAAATGTTATTGATTAGAGCGCATTATCAAGAGTTTTTAGTGTTGAAAAAAGTGCGAGCCAAGGGGTCAATTAAGTGTGCCGGAGTGCTGTCGATGGAAATAGTATTCTCCTAATTTATGCCGTCATACATAATTGGGAATTTATTGGATGTGATGTCAACACCAGCCGTAGAATATTTCAAAATCAATTGAATTGGGATTAGAGCTGGAATATTTATACGCTGCTTAATCGCCGTTGAAATGACTTGATAGCTTGACTTGGCGGATACTCCGTGTGGTCGATGACTGGCAATTAAAAGTTGATGTCTATGGAAACAGTCATTAAAGTTGGTAGTTTTATTGGCCGGCACCGGCTTGGACACAGAATATCTTTCGCACAGCCCAACGACAGCTGAACTTCTGTTTCTCTGTTTTTATTAACAAATTTAATTACAAGCCTTCATCTGATGAGAAAACAATGCGAAATTGATACATTGTGAGCCGGGCTCTTGACATTCATACCCCGTATATCTAAGTATATAGCACCTTACCTCATCGACATTATCTTCAATTACTGGTATCTTAGTCCGGTTGTTTGGCAAATAATCAACACAATGTTTATGTTCTTCCATATTTTGGTTTTTTGTTTTGTTTTGTTTGGTTTTTTTTTTCGATTTTAGCCAACGCTGTTTGCATCGCACATTTGCGGCTTGAACTTGGACTTTGTTTGCTTTGCGTGTCCACGATTCATTCAAAAACGGATCTTGCCATGTTGTTGACACGGTTTTTCTAAATGGCAATTGTTTGCCTTTCGCTCTACGCTTATTCAAATTTTTTTCGAATATCCATATACTCACACCGACCAATTTGGCCATATAACATCGTCGTACATATTTGCACTGGGCCTTTGTATGCACAGCAGATCAGTGATGGCTTTTATTGATATGCACGATTTTGCGACATGAATGAAGAATGAGAAATATTAGTTGGCACAAAGGAGGTTTTCGACTGACGTTCAAGTGTCTTCCTATTTTCAGCTTTGCAGTTGTGGAGAATCTTCGGTTTTTGATAGACAGAAGGAAATATCAGCCCACCCAACCGATCTACTTCGGCTACGAGCTCGAGAATATCATCACACATGAGGTTGGATTGAAATTTGGAAGAAATTTAGTGTATAAAACTATCGTTCTATCTCACTTTTAGCCCTTTATCACCGACCTGAGTGGCTATGTGATCAGTCGAGAGGCCTTGAGACGATATACGAACGCCTCGAAGGATCCCGGGAATAAGGAATGCCTCCACTGGGAGGGATATGTCGAAGGACTGGATCTATTTCGCTGCCTGAGTCATGTCGGTGTACAAATAGTCGAAAGTCGGGACGAATTCGAGCACGAGACATTTCTGCCCATCACGATGGACTTTCATTTCTTGGTTGGCTACGATCACATAAAGTGGCTTCGTAACTTAACCTATCATAAAGTGCCCGGGGTAATATATTGTTTTAAATTCGAAGTAATTTTCCTTAATATTTATTTTCAATATCTTCACAGCACACAGTTCCCATATCCAAACGCGCAATAAGTTTTCGGGTGGAATATCCGACTGAAATGTACGATTACTATTACTTTGTATATCGAATGAAAATCTTTGGCACCCCCGTGCAAAACTCTATAGAATTTAGACCATAATAAAGGGCTCACCTCTGGCAGCTGGCGTGGATATTCCTTCCTGATGTTTCAATTACAACAAGACAGAGGGTCTTGCTTACTTCCTAGTAAAACCAAGATACGCAGAATAACCTACATATCATGTACTCCATCACATAATTCATTTCACATACGGGAAAAGGGGGAGGATAAACGTGTTCATCAATGAATCTGTCGTCTGGCCTGGAGTCTCATTTTCCCATTGCCCTTTGTCTGTGCAAAAATACTTCCGCTTTCTTCGATTTTTGCTTGTTTTTTTTGTTGCCCAACAGCAAAGTGTCATTGTTACATCATGTCTGAGGGAAAGGAAATATCCGTATGAATGCAATATTGCACTTTTCCCTGCTTCCTGTAACCTTAATCATGTGAAGGCCTTCGGTTACCTGTTAGAGATGCCATAACTCATCTGGTAACTTGAGCACGTAAACTGAGACATTACCATCCCACATAGGCAGAATATCGCTTACCTCTCACAGGTTCCTTATTTTTTGTTTGACAGTTTCACATGAAATCCACACAAGGCTGCTCACATGTGATTATTGAAATCTATACAAACATTTGTTGGTCTTTTGTTTTTGCAACAATGAAGGCAGGCGATTGAATAATCTTTTTTTATATATGTGACAGTTATTTGTTATTTTGTGCAGCCCAAAAATAGATACGAGTATCTATGCAAATCTGGGAACGTGTTTGATCCGAATCCAAAGTTGTGGGTTCGGATTCCATGAAAAGTGTCATAACATGGCCCGAAGGAGGGGGACTGGCCCTGTTGTGCCAGATGAGGTGGACAAGTAATCGATACTCCACTTTGAATTTGTGTAGTTTTCTCAACATTTTGTAAACTGACCAAACCAAACCCTTTCCGGAATTTCCGAACCACTCCAGTCGCTCCTTCACTTTCCACTGCAAAGTTTTGCATCAACTTGAAAGCCATTATCATCAATGAAAGACGATGGCGCAACGTCTTCGGTGCCCGAGTCGTCAGGTGGGTTAATAATTCTAATTGAAAAAGGCAATTTGTATGCGGCGAGCAAAGGGAAACCAAAGGCAACGCAGACAGACAAAAGCACTCAATATAATTAAATTGTCGACGGACCACCCAGCGCCAATAATTCCACCACCTGAACCACCGATTCGAGTAATAGTTTCAAAATGCCACGACTGTTCAGTACACGGCGCCTCTTTCCGGTCGGAAAGAATAGGTTTACCCCTTGCAATGCAATTTATCTGCTACTTCTGGTCACTATATCTGTTGTGTTAGTGCTGCAGCTTCACAGGCACTTAGAACCTGAAGAGGTCGAGGCGCCTGATCCTCCAGCACCGCGGATATTTTGCATAGTTTCCACTTACGAATATCGTCATGAACACGCCGCCATTCACATACATCGGACTTGGGTCAGGCACTGCGACCACTATGTCTTCCTCAGCGATAATATCCATCACTACTTGGAACCGACGGTATTTACGAATCTTCATGACAAGTGGCACCGCATGAGGGCCTATCTGGAATACGTCTACAAGTATCACTTCCATCAGGGGGACTGGTTTCTCTACGCCAATGATGATAAGTAATGAAGAGAAATTTACTACTACCAAATAATCCCCATTATAAACCCATTTCAGTTTTGTAATTGTAGAGAACCTTAGGAATATGTTACAGTCCTATTCTTCCAATGAGCTGATCTACTTCGGCTGCAAGCTGCGCACACCCAATGGGTTGGTGAGTTTTCGTCGTCATATAAGAATATATTTGACTTATTTTTAAATATTTAGGTCTTCATGTACGAGGGTTCTGGGATTGTCTTTAGTGGAGCTGCTCTCAAAAGATTTGCTCTCGCTGCCCTGACCAACGAAAGCATCTGCAGCTCGGAGGCAAAAGGAAATGATTTGACCGAGGAACTGGGGCGATGTCTCACCAATGTCAATGTGATAGCTGGCAATAGTCGAGATGAGTTACAGGGACATCGATTTCTGCCCTTCGAGGAGGATCTGCACTTGGCAGGTCAATTAAATGAATCCATAGATCAGCACAAGTATTTTCTGGATCATTCATACTACCCGGTGATTGATGTGAGTTGTTTTTAAATACGCATTTTTGATTTTGTTCTATCATTATTCGATCATTTTTCAGATGAACGTGCCAGTTTCCTTGCGATCGATCTGCTATCACGTTAATGCCATGATGAACATTTATGACCTGTACTACTTTACTTATAAAACTCGAATTTTCGGTGTGAAACCTAATTCAGTCTCTGAAAATGTGAAAATTGTACAAAATATGAATCTCAGAAATGTACGAAATAAACAACTGTCATAAGCCTTAGTTTATTTCTCAATTTATCATAAACATAAATTATTTAAATAAAAGCTATCTGCACTTTCCTATAGAACAAAACGTATACTTAAAGATATAATATTTTTTTTGTTAAACATAAACTAAAGAGAAGATGGCAAGATTGATTTGAAGCACATTTTTCTTTCGCCTAGTAACTTTTATTGCGTTTTGATATTGTCCCAAAAGTGCCGCAATCTTTGGCTATTTTGATATCCAAATTTCCATTGCTGATTGTTGTTCTTCGGGTCGCAAACACTCGAGGTAACCAAGTTCTTTTTCGGCTGAGCCTCCAGACAATGCCTGAAGTCCAACATCTGGCCAGAGATCACCTGGCGGGTCTTGGAGTCGAAGGACCAAAACTGGTTCCCACTCTGACCATGGCAGTGAAATTTATAAACATCCTTTCCTTGGTTCCGGACTTCCAAACAATAGGTTCCGGAACGCAACTCCCGATGGTTGGACAGGGTCCAGTGCTGCTCTGGTTTCGGGAATATGTGATCCGAACTACAAGGACTTAACTTGGGACGGTCATTTCGACTTTCGTTGAGATCCAAACAGAGTTTCGGCGATGACAAGCTCTGTAAGACTCCAGATGCGTACTCTGCGGGGTCCAATATGGGATATAAATTGAGGAAATCCGACGCCAGATTCTGTAAAAACCAGCTGAAGGGCTTGCAGTGAAGACGCTTCTTAAGCTCTCGCTGTTCGGCGAGATTCCCAACTGGAATCACCGTTAAATGTGGCATGTTGGCAAACACCTTGTCCTTGAATTCATCCAACCACACTTCGGCCACTCGACGGTAGTTCTGAAACAATGTTCTCCGCTATTGAATTAATAAAATTATAATATTTAGAAAAAACCCTTACCCTTGAAATCATTCTACTCTCTTTAGTTTTTTCCTTATCGGTATAGCGAACCTGGAACTTGCCATCTCTGTACAGGTGACCTACCCTGGAGCAGGGGACTTCCAGTATCTGTCCTCCGCACAACCACAGCTTAAGGCTCAGCTCGAACTGTTCGCCGCCCCAGATCTTTAGGCCCTTGTCATAGCCACCCAGTTCGGAGAACCACTGACGTCCGATGGCAAAGAGGCCGCCATTCATAATGGGATTCTTATGGGGAGCCGGCATGGCCACCGCCTCCTCCTTGAGGAGTGGCAGCTGTATGTAGTTAAATTGCCAATTGAAGAAGCCCCTGGATGGCTTGCCCCTTCGGTAGCCGAAGTTCTCGTAATCAATGGTGTCAATAATGGGAGTGGTGCAGGTTCTGTTGTTCTTCAAAATGGGCTCAAGGAGTGGCTCCAGCCAGCCCTTGGTGACCTCTACGTGGGAGTCCAGGAAGACCAGGACGTCGGCCAGGGCAAGTTCAGCGCCCACGACTCGCGCCTGCATCAGACCCACCTGGGTGGCAATTCTGTGTTGCCTCACCATATTGAGGAACTTGATCTGAAGGAAGTCGTTGAGCTTCTGGTCCACCGAACTGCTGCCATCGTCCACCAGGATTATCTCCCGGAGCAGCAGGACCGGAGTCCGGTTTCTTAGGCTGCTCAGCGTTCGCAGCAGCACGCTGGCGTCCTCATTGTGATACGTTATCACCACACTGACCGAGGGAAGCTTTTCCAGCGAGTACTCGAGCTTTTTGCAGCTGTCGAAAGATCGCACAAGTCAGAGAGTCTTATAATCGCACCAGTGATGCCAGTTTAGATTTATGGATTTTAATACAGATAATATCTTTTTATAAAAATTGTTTTGCAAAATTTAAGATACTAATTTTGGAATTTAATTTTCATTCTGAATATAATGAACGTTTTAAAAATGTATAGTCATTTCAAGTCACTAACAGCATTGATCCTTAATATAACAAAGAATAAATATTGGAATATAAGCTCTTAACAATGCACTATGGGAAAAAGGTCTATTTTTTTGGAATACAAATAATCTAATATTAAGTGAAGTGATTAAAAATTTTATTAAATAAATAAGAAATGATTTCTGGTTTTTGTTCGTAAATTAGAGTATTGTGTTTTAAATTATTTATGGCCTCTCAAGCACCGGCAACACTGGACCCCGCTCTTATACTGCTACCGATCTCCGCTCTGCAAGCTCACGAAGCTCGTTCTCTTGGAACTTACCTGCGATGTCGCATGTCGTAGAGCGTTCGCTCTGCTGAGATGCGCTTCGAGAGCCAAGCGTTGTAACCTGTTTCCCGCTGACTTCTTCCGATGGCCTCCAGTTCCGCATCGCTCCAATTGCCCCTCGCCGGACGGCCCAAGGCGCCCAGATCCGGAATAACCTCCGACTCAAAAACCGCCTGTAGCTCGCTTATTTCACGCTCCAGACGCGAAGTCGTCGAAGATATGTTTGCATCACGCTCCCGCTCCAATTTCAGCGTATATAGGTAGTAAACTATGCTGCCAGTGGCCATCATCAGTAGCAGCAGCAGCACCTTCTTTTTGTGCCTCAACATATCTAGGCACATTGTATCACAGAAAAAAAACACAGCCCTCCTTACCGGAAAATAAACTTTCGGCTTAAACCGCGCAGCGCTTTGGCCAAGACTGAAGCTGGCCAGCTGAGAGCGTGACGAGAGCGGTCTTCTACGCCAGTAATCCCATCTTATACGCTGAGAAAGTTTTCGATTCGGTGGCTCAATAAACCGATCAGGGGCGGGCTTATTTTAATTTCGAGTGGAATGGTCGAAGATTGCCTCAAGAGGAAGTCAATAATGCAAGCGAAACGATATTTTCAATTTTAATATAATAGGTATTAAGTTAAATATTAAATCCAAAGATGAACCCATTAATAAACTAACGCAAAAAACTCTGAAATCGATTTTAAATAATGAGCTTATATATTTTCAATTCACAATTTGGCCTATACAAATTCTTCTCAGCAATACCATACAATTTATAATGTAAACTCAGGAAAACTTCAAAAAAACAATTATGAAAGAATAGACATAAATATAAAGTTGTATGAATCCCCCAAGTAATTTTACAACTTCCTTATAGCTTTAACACTATATCAAATTAATTTGTTTCACCTAACCGCATTCACATACAACTTTAACAAATTGTAGCACCTTTATTTTCAGTCTTTTACTTTACTTTAGAATGAAGCCATTACCATTTGGTACACCGTGCAGCTGTGCTATTTTCATTTTAGTTTATTGTATAATTTCCCTTTTTATTTGGCTCATGTATACGGATAACTTATCCAACGCAATAGTAGACTTTGAGTACTTTTCAATTGAAAATCTTGGCGAGCTGGGAAAAGAAGCCCATTTGCAAATGACGAAAAAAGATTTTGTGAGTGCTGAGGAACAGTATGCAAGATATCATTACAATGCTTGGCTCTCTGAGAGAATTCCGCTGAATCGAACTCTGGAAGATTATAGGGACCAGGAGTAAGTAGGCTAAAATGTATAAGATATAATCGCAATGTAAGGCATCCCATTTAACAGATGTCACAATATCAGCTATACTTCGGTGAAAAAGCTAACTGCTAGCATTATTATAGCCAATCAACTGGAGCATCCTCACACTCTGCTGAGGACCATTTACAGTGTTATATCGCAAACATTACCTTACCTAGATATTGAGATAATATTGGTTCACGATGGACTTGCTGATCCAGATGTGTTCGAGTATATATCACACAAACTTCCCATAGTTATACAGGTGGAAGTTGAAACTTTAAGGGGGCTTATCCATGCTCGTTTAACTGGAGCTAGGATAGCAACTGGAGATGTCCTCGTATTTCTAAATGCCCACATGGAGGTCACAAAGGGTTGGCTTCCTCCTTTAGTGGAACCCATCTTTTTGAACAATCACACCATCACGGAGCCTATTATAGATGCCATTTCTGGAGAATCTTTCGCCTACCAGAAATTGACTGAACCTGATCAACGGGCGTTTAATTGGCAGTTGGAGAACATCGAGATCCCCTTGGATCAGATCGCCTGGAATAACCTCCCCAAACCATACGCATCTGCCCAACTGGAGGGACGTGTTTTTGCAATAGATCGCAACTGGTTCTGGCACCTTGGAGGATGGGATGAAGGCCTCCAGGACAATGGGGGCGATGCCCTGGAACTCAGCCTAAAAGTGTGGCAGTGTGGTGGTAGCATCCTCACTGTTCCCTGTTCTCGAGTCGGAATCATCTATAAACGGGAAGAGGTAGAGGCCCAGATGGCTCCAAATAGAAATCCAAACTTACAAGTCCGAAAGGTAACTGAATATTTTTAAAACTTTAAAGCACCATAATGCATATGATAAAGTATTTTACAATCAAAAAGTTTAAAGATCTTAACAATAATTTTTTTTATGATTTTTTAGAATTTTAAGCGTGTTGTGGATGTCTGGTTCGACGAATTTAAGCTCCACTTCTATCGATACAATCCAAGGCTCCGAAACCTTACCGCGGAATCGCTGAATGAACAGCGAGAACTTCGTCGTCGCCTCAATTGCAAGTCCTTCGGATGGTACAGAAGCCAAATGGCGCCGCTCCTCAGGAACCACTATCTTCATGCCGGACTCTCCAACTTTGCGGTCGGTAAAATATTGTCCTTTGTGGCGCCAAATTATTGCCTGTCTATCAAGGGGGGATTTCCAATCATGAGAAAATGCAATTCTACTAATTTCGAAGACTGGACACTGACGGCTCGCTGCCAACTGAAACACGGTCAAATGTGTCTGGATGTGGACTCCAAAAATAATGTCAAGGTTACGAAGTGCACTAAAAAAGTGCCGAAAAATCCCTGGCAATATAATTATCAGCACAGGTCATTCGTTAGCAATGGAAACAAATGTCTTCAAATTGATGTCACGAAAGTCGTTTTGATGTTAAGTACTTGTGACGCTGATATAGCGGAACAACGTTGGATGTTCTCCGGAGTGCAGGACTCAAAATTCGACCAAATCATGAGTGCTTGTTTGAATATAAACCATTAAATTTTTGAAACGTAACTTATCTTAACTTTAAAAATATTTCTAATCGAAACTTTAAATATTTTATTGCGCTTAATTTCGGTAGAAAATATAACTTAATTTGATGATAGTTTAAGTTTAAGATTAAATATCAATAGAGAATTAAAAGGGCATAGCAGACTTACCTAGGGAAAACGGCCCCCAGCGATTTTTAAAAATTTTGAATCAGCGATGGTAGATAATTAGAAGGAGAATATGGAAACCAATTTTCAAAGCTATTGGACATTTGGCTGAGGAGAAATCGTCTGCAATCCAAAAATGTATTTAAGCTTATATCTGACCAACGGAAACGCTTAACTGAAAATTAGTGATGAGAAATCAAAGGGATAAGAAATAGGTCCTCGCTAAAGAAGCTTGGAATTTTTAAGACTTTTTAAAAGTGCAGAAAACCGCGATTAAAATTTTCAAAAAAATTTTTGACCACTTTCAAGTTTTGGCAACACCACCAATTTTTTACAGCTCCTGTGTCTTTTAACCATTGAATTAATAAAAAAAAAATCATAATTTTATAGGTGGTGCAACAGTGTCAAAAAAAGGAAAAACTAGATTTCAAGTAGTTTTGTGGGACTTTTTCTACAACCCGGCCACCCCAGTTTTTTTTTTTAAGTTTTTGAAGTGCACAGTACCAACTTGATTGCAAAGCCCATTGCTTCCAATATTTATTCTCACACCTATTTTGGCACTATCATCACTCTTTTTCCGTATTTTGGCGTTAGAAAGAAAACCGAAATCAATTTTATCTTTCGAGCAGAAAGCACGATTTGCATAATTCAAAAGCAGAAATATCTGTCTTTTCATGGCCGATTACGAGATAAAAAAATAATGCTTTCAGACCATAGATGTCCATAGATGTTCAGACAATTTTTTACGTCCAAAAGTAGGATTTCGGCCAATAGGTAAGTTTAAAAAATACCATTCTATCCCAATTCACTGGATTTAATGTGGGATCTCCGTTGAGGAATTCGCTATGAATTCTTTTCATTGACCTATTACTTTTTTCCAAAGCATATACAATTTTGTGTATTACATATTAAAAGCCTACTTTTGGACTTAAAAAATGGTATCGCTGGGTCATCAATGGTCTGAAAGCATTATTTTTTTATCTCGTAATCGGCCATGAAAAGACAGATATTTCTGCTTTTGAATTATGCAAATCGTGCTTTCTGCTCGAAAGATAAAATTGATTTCGGTTTTCTTTCTAACGCCAAAATACGGCAAAAGAGTGATGATAGTGCCAAAATAGGTGTGAGAATAAATATTGGAAGCAATGGGCTTTGCAATCAAGTTGGTACTGTGCACTTCAAAAACTTAAAAAAAAAAACTGGGGTGGCCGGGTTGTAGAAAAAGTCCCACAAAACTACTTGAAATCTAGTTTTTCCTTTCTTTGACACTGTTGCACCACCTACAAAATTATGATTTTTTTTTATTGATTCAATGGTTAAAAGACACAGGAGCTGTAAAAAATTGGTGGGGTTGCCAAAACTTGAAAGTGGTCAAAAATTTTTTTGAAAATTTTAATCGCGGTTTTCTGCACTTTTAAAAAGTCTTAAAAATTCCAAGCTTCTTTAGCGAGGACCTATTTCTTATCCCTTTGATTTCTCATCACTAATTTTCAGTTAAGCGTTTCCGTTGGTCAGATATAAGCTTAAATACATTTTTGGATTGCAGACGATTTCTCCTCAGCCAAATGTCCAATAGCTTTGAAAATTGGTTTCCATATTCTCCTTCTAATTATCTACCATCGCTGATTCAAAATTTTTAAAAATCGCTGGGGGCCGTTTTCCCTAGGTAAGTCTGCTATGCCCTTTGTAATGTAGTTTAAAAATTCATATTTGTTGATTGAAATTTGCATATAATATACACAAATTTTAAATGATGTGTTCCGAAATCGATATCCGTATAGCTAAAGAGCCCATAAATTTTCGCAGGTATCAAGAGGTAGTGTTTGTGTAGTTTTCGAAGCACAAGTAGCTTGTAATTAAAACTTATAAATATTTATCATAATCTAACCTAAAGTATTTGCTGATTGCATGACGCTTAAATTGGTATTTTCGAGTATCCATCTCTGTTTTCTATTCGATGTATTGCAGTGGGTCAGAAACATGTTGAATTCACCTTCCACTTCCAGACACCTCTTATTGCTTATCAGATGGTTGTTAACTGCATCATAGTGCCAACTCTGCCGACCTCCCATATTGTGGCACAAATCAAATCCCAATTTCAGATTGGGTTGCACTTCGGCACAAAGTTGTTTAACTACTCGGAGATCATTGAGGTGGGTGAGACTCCATTTTTGAAGAGTATAATTTGCTTTGCAGGGCTCAAGACTAACGGTTTGTCTTTTTGAATGAACTGTTAGACAGCTTTTAGGAAATTCCAGAGGCTTCACATATCCAAAGGCATAATATGTACTATTTGTGGGCCTAATCTGCAGCAATTCTGGCATTATTTCGTTTATGAACTCAATAAACGATAGACAGTCGTAGTCTTCATATAATTGACGTGAATTACTGATATCGGTTATTGGAAAATTTATGAGATCGGGAAGGTAATGGTAGATAACCGATTTCGATTGAGGATCATCTATCCACACTTCCACAATGCGCTTAAGGTTCTGGAAAGAAATGCAATATAAGTATTTATAACTGTTCGTCAATTATTAACCTCGTACCCATAAAAGTTCTTTGCCCATAATATGGAGATTGCCATATCGCTTAAGGTAGTTCTGATCCTTAGGCTGCAAGTGGCCAACTCTGGAGCAGGGAACTTGAACAACTCGCCCACCACTTCGCCAGACTTTAAAACTGAGTTCAAGCTCAGCGGCGCCAGACCCTCGGAGTTGTTTGTCGAAATTCGAGAGGTCCTGAAACCACTGAGCTGGAATGGCAAACACAGAAGTCCTGACAGCAGCCACTTCGTAGGGTCTAGGAAGCCGTTTCTTTACATCCTCTGGCAGGGGAACTTCCCGTCGTCTCAAGCTCCAATCGAAAATTCCACGCAGCTCGACAGATCGATGGTAGGCCAAATTCTGCTCATCAAGTCCATCTAAAATGGGCGTGGCGAGGGTAAGACTCTGCTCCGAAATTGTATTAAGCAGAGGAGTTAACCAGCCGTTGGTGAACTCTACTTGTGCGTCTACGAAAACCAGGTTATCCGCTTTGGCTTTCTTGGACGCCAAAACACGAGCTTCAATTAGGCCCACTGGTTTGTTAAGGTGAAGTATTCGCGCTTTTGAATAAATATACCTGAGCACATATCTGTCGAAGAAGTAAACCGACAATTTCTCATTCCAGAAGTCCGTGTCACTATGATCATCCACTATAATTAGTTCGGAAAAAAGGTGCTTCGGAGTCCTGTCCACCAAACTGTGCAATGTTCTTAGCAGAACAATGAGCTGCTCGTTTCGAAATATCAAAATAACTGCCACTGGTTTCATTCTATCGGAATCTTCATCGTATTTCAAGTTCAGGCATCGGGGATCACGTAAATCTGGCAAGGAACGCCACAGAGAAATTCTCTCTGCCAACCAGGCATTATAAGCAAAACGCTCCCAACCCTGCGTATAGGCATCGATTTCCAACGAGGGCACACTTAAATAGGAGGCTGTTCCATTTTCACCCAGTCCTGGGTGAGAAAGAGGCCCCATTAGTCCATCCCAACGGCTGAGATCTCTGTGCAGAAGTATGAGCGTTATAAGGATCCATAAGAAAAGGACCACGTATTTTAAATAGGGGTATTTAAACGCGGCCGGGGGAACTTCCATGTCCATAACGCAACTGATCGTCAAATGCGAGGATTTGTACACTTATTTTCAAACGCTTCATGGCTATCTACAGCGTAACATTTACATTAGAAGTGGAACATTTAAACCAGAAGTATTTATGTTTTCGTTTACTAACCAAATTGTACAAAATATATTTAAGCATAACACATTATTTTATCCATTTAAAAAGAAATTTGTTATATTTTTAGAATTCTTTAATTTTTAAAAATTAAAGGAATATTTATTTAAACTTCGCCAAAAATGTCGGATTCAGTAAGTCCATATTCTTTCAGAAATGTGTAAGTTAATTGATCAATTTTCTCCTTGCCCTCAGAACTCAACTCATCCTTGAAGGAACCTACAATACCACGTCGCATAAATCTAAACATAGAAATATATGGATTACTGTTAATTCCGGAGAAAACATTATATCTTACTGAAAATCATCGCCAATTTTGCGGTATGTTTTCATCAAACCGGTGGGATTGCCAAACTTGCTTTCTGAAAGTACAACATTTTATTTATCACTTGGTAATTGTATTTTTTTGCAGAGTACTCACCTTTCATGTTCTTAAAGCTCAAGTGGTTTATGAGTTTATCCATTTCATTTTCGCTTAATTCTTTGCAGCCTAAGAACAGCGATAGCCTCTTGATAACATCCCCAAGATTTCGGCTCATTTCCTCGTAGGTAACAAAGAAAATATTTTCTTCATCGCGCATTCTATAAAAGTCGATAACATGCGCCCAGTAAGAGGTAAAACTAACCTTATCAGCTACAAAATCATCTACGAATTCGTCTAAACTGCCCTGCCAAAAACCGAATCCAGTGAGAAAGTGATACTGAGAAACCACAATATCCTTAGGATTTCGGGCCATATATATAATCTTGCGGCCCTGTTTCCAGAGCTGTGGAGGTAGCAGTTGAGCGGGCAAATGAGATTTGATCAATCGTGGATTACCCTTCATTTTATTGCAAAGTGAAATAGAATCCGGAACTGCAGGATTTACGGCGGACTCTCTACATAAGAAATCACAAGAGTTGTGTAATTAATTGAGAGTTTGTAGTTTTTGTATTTTCTTCCTTACTCCAAGAAAACACTCCTATGCATTGCATAACTGCTTTTAGCTGTTTCGTAATCCATTTTATTTAGCAAAAGCCAGGCCAGTTCCTGCATCCACGTAGTGCCGGCTTTCATAAAAGTCACCACGAAAACATCACTATCTCGCGTCTCGAAGTCATGAATTCGAATCGCATAATCTTCTGTAAATCTATCGGGCAGTGTACACCAGCGCTCGCTCCAATCCTGCTTTAGGGGCACCCACTCAGGACCTGATCCATTGGGTCCTTTGCATTGCAGCTGAATTCTTGGCGATGAGGCCGATGAATCGATTGGCCTAGAAGTGTACATCAGTTCTTTTGGAGGTCTTTTCTACTAGTGCCGTTACTGTTATTAGAAGCCAGTGTCTTGCCAAAAATGTTTTATTACCTTCAAATTGATAAGATTACCCAATCTACACTCAACAAATTCACTCTATGAATTTATACAGGGTAGATACGGTAAATGGTCTTGTTTTTCCAGATTTATTGAATTAAGTAATACTTACGTTATTTTAAATACTTTTAGCTGGCAAATCTGTATGAATTCAAACTCAAATTATCGATCTATTATTCTTTTTTAAATGGTTTATATTATTTTCGGTCTCTGTGCAGTGTAAATAAATTCATTAGATAAGGTCTGTCTTCTCTTGAAGATTAAGAAATCAGAAAAAGAATAAAAGCAGCACAAAATTACCAAGTGATTATAGTATAATTCGATATATCACACGATATGATAAATATATATAAGTATATAAAAAGGTGGTGTTTCTATTTGAGTCTTAAAAATGGCTTTATACCTTTTGGTATCATTCACCAGTTTACAAAATAAAATCGACCTCTTCCTCGTCAAAGACAACCTTTATTTTCCGGTTAGGTACATCTCCCTGATTAAGAAACGGGTACTTAAAATTTGTTGTATGGTGTCAATTTTTTTTTAAGTGTAAAAACATTTTTGACCAAATTTTTGTTTCTATCTTGATTTCTGATAACCTGATTTAGATCATCTCATTTTACAGGTAATAGAATGTCAATTAACTTTCTTACACACAGCATTGAGTTCCAGTCATTAGTTTAGAAGCTACATCCGTCAATGTTAAAAAAGTTTACAAAAATGCAAAAGTTCTGGCATAAATGGCATCGTTAAAAATACACTCCTGAAAACCGAAATTAGTTTATAACAACAGCTCACCCTATAATATTTAAACACAATTTTCCTAAAAATAGTACCTCAATTAATTTATTAAATCATAATAAGCAATACATTTATTATTTGGTCGGGTAGACCATAAGATATTTAGTTTAAATGGGTTAAATGCCATAATTTTAAGATGGCCTAAAAAGAGGGCAAATATACCAAAAATTTACATTTTTGGCGGTACGTGACCTTATAAGAAACTTTAGTTCATAATGTGTCTGGCGCCCACATTTCTAAATATTTTGGAAAAGTAAAAATGCAATTTTGTTGTGTTTATTAATACGTATTGAAATGTAGATTTAAGATTTAAGATGTAAATTTGTCAAATCGAATCGTTCATTAAAAAGTTATGCGCGATCAAAGTTATATATCTCCATCATGCTGGCACTCCCTTTAGCTGAGTAACGGGTATCTGATAGTCTGTGCACTCGACTACAGCGTTCTATCTTGTTTAAAATAGTTTAAAACACTACAGCTGACCAAAAATGTCAGTTTCATAAATCCCATATTCTTTTAAGTAGTCATTCGTCCATTTATCTATCTTAGTTATTTGTTCAGCGGTAAGTTCATCTTTGTGTGCTCCGATAATGCCCCGCCGCATAAATCTATAACAAATATATTAATACATGTGTCGGTTATTTTCAATATATATAACAATTTACTCACTCGAAGTCATCCCTTACTCCATTAATTTTTTTAATCAAATTCGTGGGATTAGCCGATTGGTTTTCTGGAAGGTGGTATAAGTTTTTAAATCCGCTTAAATAAACAAAAACTTAAGGGGCTGTTCATATATTACGTATCCTTATTGTAATTGAACCACTAAACATTCTCTTTTTCGCCGCCCAGCCACTAAAAAAAATGTTTTCTCTGCTTTCCTATCTAACTTTGTAGATATATTTAAAGGAAAAACGTTTTTAAATAAATTCTTTAAAGATAAAAATACATATAAAATGATTACGTAATCATTGTGCAAGACCCCCTCCCCTCCTCCCATGTTATCAAACATAATCATTTTAATGACCCCCTCCCCCCCCTTAGGTGTTTACGTAATATATGGACAGCGCCTTAGATGTATTTACCTTTCATGTTCTCAAACGATAAGTGCTTTAAAAGCGCCAAAGTGTCTACTTCACTAGGAGCACTGATATTTAAAAAATGAGTTATTCTTTTAACTACATTCTCTAAATCTCTCTTCATTTCCTCATAGGTGACAAAAAACACGTTTGGTTCGAAACGCATTCGATAAAAGTCTATAACGTGTGACCAGTAAGATGTATACACAATTCTATCTTCAATGAACTGATCAATGAATTGATCCATATTTCCTTGCCAAAGTCCGATGCCTGTCAGGAAATGATATGAGGAGATGACAACGTCCTTTGGATTACGGGCCAAATAGATGATCTTCCGCTTCTGCTCCCAAATCTCACGAGGCAGCAGTTGAGCTGGCAAGTGGGATTTTATCAGGCGAGAATCATCCAGCAACTGATCGCACTCGGCCAAATTATTCCCACCAATTTTTGTATTTATAGCAGAGTGCCTAGAAATAACATAAAATAAGTAGTATCCGAAAAAAAACGTTTTAACTAATTAACTAAATCTATTTATCTAGTATCTATCTTTATATCTAAATCTTACACACAAATAAATTTGGTTGGTTAAATTGACCTATAAGGATAGTTACGCAACTAAAAAAAGGTATTCTACTCAGGGACCGTAACTGTTAAGAGTTTTATGTTAAAAATCACATTTTAACAGTTGTTTTCGGATTCGTAAAGTAAAACTCAAAGAATAACTGTTATTTTTTGAGTTTTACAATAAAAGTTGACAAATAACAGTTATTCGTCGTGATCAAAAATAAAACTCAAACTTGATTTATGGCGATTTTGTGGGTAAAACAAATTTAAAAAAAATATAGTTATACAATATGCACAGTCGGCTTTTTTTTAAGATTTTTAGTAAGTTATATAAAACATGGTTAGCATGTTTTTTTTATTATTTAATTTTTTTAATGTCAAGGGAATAACTGTTATACATAAAAATCAACAAATAACAGTTAGTTTTTGAGTTTTATTATAAAAATCAAATAAATAAAAATCATTACGGGTTTGTAAACTACAATGGCTAACAAAAATAATGGTGTATTTAAAAACATTTTAGGACTCTTCTAAGTGCATGATTTTTTTGGTAAGAAAAATGAACAATAACAGTTATTTTCGGTCCCTGATTCTACTATTAAAACAAGAGAGAACGCTATAGTCGGGTTGGTGTCCCGACTATCTAATACCCGTCACTCAGCTAAAGGGCGTGCGAACGCTGTACTCGGGTTGGTGTCCCGACTAATAATCGTAACTCAGCTAAAGGGAGTGCGAGGGAGATAGATATATAATTTTTGATTGCGTATAACTTTTTAATGAATGGTCCAATTTGAAAAATGTCTTCTACTTTTCGATAGGTATAAATATACACAACAAAATTGCATTTATACTTCTCGGAAATCTTTAAAGATGTGGGCGCAGGACCCATTTTAAAATCGTTAGTGGGCGATTGAGGGCGTTAGAGGGGGCGTGGCGCTCGGCTAAAATAAACTTGCGCTGCGTAGGAAGCCAAAGAGTATGTGTGTGGGAAATCTCAACCTTCTAGCTTTTGTAGTTTCTAAGATCTCAGCGTTCATACAGACGGACAGACAGACAGACGGACAGACGGACATGGCTAGATCGACTCGGCTAGTGCCCCTGATCAAGAATATAGTTGGCTTGATAATTTCGTAAATTTGGCGATGGCCGTTTTGTCGATAGTCAAAAAATACTCAGATATTTGGTATTTTAGGCACGAGAATATCAAAATGTAGTAGCATTTATTGTCGAATGCTCTTTTCTCCCACCTCTAGAACCACTTGAAAATATATGGGAAATATGTAACATATACCAAACAAGAAAGGAAGCTAGCTTCGGCCAGCCGAAGCTTATATACCCTTGCAGATTTTTCCTATAAATGTTAAATTTCCTATTATTTTACATTAATTTTTCGATCGTTTCTATGGCAGCTATATGATATAGGAGTTCGATCTTTTTAAAATTAAAATCGAAATTCGGAAATATTTAAAAATAGTCATATCCCAGACTAGAAGAGAATGTAATAAAAATCAACAAAAATATAATTTGTTTTCCTTTTAATTTCCATTTAATTTTTCGACCGTTCCTATGGCAGCTATATGATATACTGATCCGATTTTTAAAATATTTAATTCGAAATTCAGAAATATATAAAAAATAATATTCCCAAGAGTAGAAGGTAATACTTGAAAAAACACTGAAGCTAGAATTTTTAACGTTTTTTTTTTCCCGATCGTGCCTATGGGAGCTATAAGATATAGTTGTCCGATCCGGTCGCTTCCGACATATATACTACCTGCAATAGAAAGAAGACTTTTGGGAAAGTTTCATCCCGATAGCTCATAAACTGAGAGACTAGTTTGCGTAGAAACAGACAGACGGACAGACGGACAGACGGACAGAAGGACAGACGGACAGACGGACATGGCTAGATCGACTCGTCTTGTGATGCTGATCAAGAATATATATACTTTTTGGGGTCGGAAACGTCTCCTTCACTGCGTTGCAAACTTCTGACTGAAATCATAATACCCTCTGCAAGGGTATAAAAATGTCAAAATGCTACATTCAGCTCTGGTGAGGAAAGGGCATAACTCTACGAGTAACGGGTATAAATAGTTACGTGTATTTTGTTTTTGCTTTGGGTGTGTCTCTTAGCTATTTGTGTGTATTTTGTTGTTGCTTCGAGAAGTACTTACTCAATATGAGGACATCGCCTCGCTACATGCTTTTTTTTTGCCCCTTCAAAGTCCAGATTATTTAGCAAAAGCCATACCAACTCCTGCATCCAAGTAGTGCCGCACTTCATAAAAGTCACAACAAAAACATCACTTTTCCGCGTTCTGAAGTCAAGGATTCGTTTCGCAAATTCTTCCGAATAAGAAACCGGAAGTGAGCACCACCGTTTTCTCCACTCCTGTTTCAAAGAAACCCATTCGGGACCTGAACCTGCAGAACCATTGTACTGCACTTGATGCATTGGCTTTAGAGCCGAAG